TTGATGTTCTTCTGAAATCTGATAAATCTGATCCATCTGAGCACAGAATAAAGTCTGTTATGTAGTCATTAATAAATGTAAACATTTGAGAAACTTCCATTTGAATCAAGTTATTTCAATACAGGGTTGAGTGTGTTTAGGCTTTCATTGTATTTATACTGAGATAAAACCAGCCATTTACTGACCTTTAATACTCTGAGCTATGAAAATGTTTTTGGAAGTGGTTGTAGAGTCTGTACAGAATTGTGCTGCTGTTCTAAATCACTAAGCTGCTAGGAAATTGTTAGTTGTAAATTGATGCTTATTTTCCATTTAGTGTTTTAATGGTGAATGTTTCTCAGTTAATTTACAGCTTTGACTTTTTGCATGTCTTTTTATGTTTCTGGGATATAATCAGGCTAGCTTTTGTAAGCATTTAGCACTGTAAAATATAAAATTTTCATCACTGTTCCTTTAGGGGAGACATACTTCTGTCACCAAAGCTACATACTGCTGTTGTATAGCCTCCAGGAAATGTGTGACAATGAAGGACAATTCAAAACTAGTCCGTTTTTTATTTTAAAGTACAATTTTTACCTTTTTTTTAGAGCCAGAACTTTGAACCAAAATATTAGAATCTGTAAAGTCTTAAAAAATTTGAAAACGTTTTGCAAAGACTATACTTTCTGATGTATATTTTTATTTATGGGTGAATGTGTGCAAAGCTTTTAATCAGCTCATCTATCCTCAAACTCAAGTAAAAAGTATACACTTTGTCTTATTAATAGACACTGCTGCTTTTAAAAATGAATTTTAAGCATTTAGAGAGAAAATTCCATAGCTCTTACTTAAGCAAATCTGCCCAGCCCTCAATTTTTCAGGTGTCTAAGCACATAACTGCCTCAAATATGTGCTTATTGCCTTGTAGGATGAAAACCTGAACTGTGATATTTTGCATTTATTTTCTTAAGATGTAAGGTTTCTTTCTGCATTTTTAAATGTAGACACATGTTGCTATTCACGCTGTCATAAACAAACCTTGTAAGCATTGTCTCCCACAGTTATTGGCAGCCTCTGCTCTGGATTCTGTAGGAATGTATGGTGTCAGAGCTGAGTTTGTCCCTAAAAACCAGGAGTGCTGAACATGATAATATTTGTTCTTTGTGGCACATCACTGTGGGTCCTCCTTCCCCATGCAGCTCTCTCTGGTTTGCAGTGTCCCTGGCCTGCAGTGCCCAGCAGGAGTGCCCAGAGCAGTGGAACTGGGACTCACCTGGCAGGAAGTGCAGCAGCTGTGTCCTGTAGACTCCTTCTGTTTGGTGAAATATCAGCCAAGACTGTTTTCCCCCTCCAACTTAAATAATTCAGGGTATATCTAAGTATCAAATGTGCAAGTGTGTTGATGTTTATTTTTACAAAAGGCTAAGTGCACTGTTTTAGGATCAATTCAGGCTTCAGTATTTTCCACCCACTTCAGTCTGAGTTTGGAAACAGGATTTGAGACTGCAGCACCTGACAGCTGGAATACTTTACAGAAATCTACAGGGAGTAGACAGGACACATATGATTAGAGTGCCAGGCCAAAACTGAAATGTGAAATTCCTCACTGTGACTTTAAACTTGTAGCTTTCTAGAGAGAGAAAAAAATACATATATACTGTGCCTTAAACCAGTAAATGAATACACTCCAACTGTAGCCTGTGGACTTCCATAGCCTTATATTTGATTTTTGAAGTTGACCAAAAATATTTGTGTGGATCATACTGAAACTTGATTTGGGGAAAATGCTTAAAAAAGTTATTTTGACCCCATTTTACACTTAGAGAAATGAAGATTTATGACAAGTACAGCATATTTTTTATTTGGAATCACACCAACCAAAGTCAGAAGGCTTTAGCTGACCTGAATTTTTCAAGCCTTTCTGTTGTGACCAAAAGAAAAACAAGGAAGGAAAACTAGTTGCAGATATCTGTCTTAGCTTTGAACTCTGTGTGTCAAATTATTTTTAAACATTTTGATATTTGGTCCTCAATTTTAAAAAAAATCTCAATTTTAGTTTAAGCAAAATACTGTATTTAAGCCATTAAATAGCAAAATCTTCACCAGTGTAAGAAAACTAGACAGGGGCGGGGTTGGTTGTTTGTGTTAAGGTTCCAGAAGTTTTAAAATACTAAATTTTACTTTTTAGGAAAAATATTCACATGTAAATCCCTGAAAGTTCATATGTAGATTCCCTTTTTTGGAGAAAAAAAATTGCACTTTTTTTATCCTAACTCATTAAAGAAAACTAGAAATACTTAAGATCTTAAAATCTAGTTTTAATATAGTAGAAGGATTTCTTACATATACTTTTTAATAAAAAGAGCTCAGGAAAAGCCACTGCTGGCTTTTCTTATTTGTCTCTAGAGGATTCTCTGTGTGTTTTGAACAAATTCTGATTTCCCTCCCCCCCCCATATAGCACTGAACCTTGGAAAGTGATGCCATCTGAGAGGTTATTGCTGTACTGGGGGTATTTAGACATGCCACAAAGAACTGCCTGCCACAGAGCTGCTCACAGAGCAATACACAGCAATGTTAGAAAACATTTCCTTTCACTGAGCTCCTGCTTCCATCTGGCTGCCACAGTGCTGCTGCTGCTGCTGAGCACAACATGGAACAGACCATCCTTGTGTCTTCCCTGCTGCCTAAACTCATTCCAGTCACCTCACTTCTTCCTTTGTGGTGATGTTTCAGCACTCCTGGCCTTTGGTGATTTTCTAGCCACTGGAATATTCTAGTACTGAGAAGGTAGAAGTACCTTTAAGGCCTTCATGTATGATGGTGACTCGAGAGAAACCGTGTAACTTGATTCCCCACTGACCTTTTAATTGTTTTTTTCAAGCACAAAGAATAATGTTGGCCAAAATACCTTGTTTGGGTGATTAGTGGGGAGGGAAGGATTTGTTGGTTGTAAAAGGACTTAAAACTTTGAAGAAAACACGTAATTTTGGGGAAAATCTTATCACTTCTCAAAGCAATCTGTCTTAGAAGTTTTTAACTCTGCCTCTGTGTTCAGTTATTATGTAGCTACCACAAATGTGATGTTGTACATGAACTCACTCTTAATATTTACAGATTTTTAGAGATGTTGACAGGGTCTTATCTATAAATGTTTGAATAATACTATAGCAAATTACTGTGCTTATAAAAATGTTAATAACTAAGTTCTTACAGATCATGTCATGTATCATAAAGTTTGGCAAAGTCCTTGTCTTGTGAGATGCTGAGAAAACCTTGGAGAAGAGGTATTTTCAGATGATGTTGTAATTGCTGAAAGATGACATCTCACAGCCTTTAAAAACTGCATTTAGATACTTTTTTGTTGTAGTTGAGGGCAACTTGATTGGGAGCTGCTCTGGGATGTTCCTGTTTTGTTTCCTGATTTCCCTGGCTGCAGTGTGTACTTCAATTTTGGTTTTTGTCTTTTTTTTTACCTAAGTGTGCATGACTTTCAGTACACTGTATAGCAAATGCCCTGCTAAAGAAACATTTCTGTATATTTTTGTATGGTATTCCAACGTGCTTGCATTGGTACAAATGGTTGTAAATCCCAAAAAGTGCCACTTGCCAGTGCTGCTCTGTGTTACCTGTATGCTGTTGTACAAACACGCTGAGTGTTGTGAGCAGTGTTTGCCTTTAGTCTTGCCTCAGGTACTCATGTGGAGCAGTTTGGTGCTTTTCCTTCTGACTTGTAATACTTGGGATTCTAAGCAGAAAATAAAAGTAGTAAACAAAAAGCCTTGTGGTTGGAGCAGTGCTTTAACAGGTGCTTCTTTCACACCTCAAGTACAGTGCAATAAAGATAGTTGGATAGACAGGGTGAAGCTTGCCTCAGTGTCTTAACTCCAACACCTCAGGCTGCATGGCCGGGAAATGCAATAAAATTCAATGTGTTTCCTGAACAATACACTTTATACAGAGCATCAAATGTATAAAACTTGTTCTCAGCTAAACTAGTATATTTTAAATTTGTACATTTCAGAGGTGAATTGTGTGGAACTGAGCAAGTAATGCTATCAGCATTTTCATCTTCACAGCAGCTTAATTCAAACATACATGAACATTACTTCCTGTGCCAGAAAGGTTATATAATTAGTATAGACACTTCAAAAATATTTGATTTATTGAAGATGTTTATCAAGAAAACCTGATGCTTAAATTTGGGTGCATTAAAAAGGCAGCCCCCTGACATCTGGCTTTGATAGCATTTAGCTACTGTCCTCAAAAATGAGGTTGCAATTTTATTCAGTCAGTGTAAGTATACTAATAGTATTTTAATATGAATGTGTTCTGCTTATATTTGACTTTCCCTGAAGGAAAGAATTGAATTTACTAAAAGAAGACCAACCCACACATTAAAATGAGCTATAGGTCTAAACAGACTTTTAGCTCCAACAGTTTCTCAGAGCTTTAGCTCAGGAAGCAATAATACAAGTGTGTATGGATTTTTTTTTCAGACAGCTGACAGAAAATATATGCTAATTGAATCTCTTGCATATCTGCATGCTTCATCAGTCACCCACATTGCCTGAGTTCCTCCAGTAACAAAGCTTGTTTCATATTTGCAGATGACTTCAATATGTTTTATTAGCTGAATACACTGCATATCCCCAGTCCTTTGTAAAGAAATCAATGGAATAAATTAATTGAGGGGGAGAAAAGAGGTAGAAGAAAACTGCCAGCTCTTCTGTCTTTTTTCCCCCTCCTCTTTCCAAAGATAAGGAACTAAAATCTAATTCCAAACTGTAAATCTTGCCTTTTCCCCTTCCTGTCATTTTCTCTACAGGAGCATATTTCTGTTTCTAGCTGAAATAAGTATCTACCTAGAATATCAACAAAGACAGTTCCTTTATGCTGGGACCTACCTTTTTTGTGGTTTTCTGGTGCTACTGCTCTGTTCTTGATGAGTCAAATATCTGGAAGTTGAGTGTGATGAAGCATAATTGATGGGGCTTAATGGATTTTATTTGTTTTTGTGTATGATTTTTTTAAAACTTCAAATATGCAGAATAATAAACAAACTGGATAAGTTGTCTTGAATTTTTACATATTACTGTAGTCACAAAAATAAGCTGCTGTTTTAGCAGAAGGGAAAAAGAGGAGAAACAAGTGCTAACTGTGGAGTTATCAAGTGTCCTCCCCTTGGCCAGTGCATATCCTGGGGATATCTGGGTTTCTTTGTCATCTTTGGGAATGGAAGACTTGGTGCTTGGGATCAGCTTGAAAATAACAGTGCTAGGATTTTGTTTACTGTGTTGCTAATGATGTTTGGATATCCAAAACTTCACCTTCCTGGAAGGGTGGTGGCAGGTTTTTATTTTGCTTTCAAAATTTAAACCAAAGAAAAATGTAAAGCTTCTAGTCAGACACAAACATCTACACTCGGGAGTAAGGTGATGGTCAAATATTTTTAGTTTTAACATGTCTATTTAGGGACATATTTTATGTGATGCTAAATCATGTATCATCTACATAACGGAGAGAAGAGTGCAGTGAAATAATAAAAAATATGAGCAGCTTTGATATGCAGAATGCTATGCACTAAGGCCAAGGTAAATTAGCAGAGTCCTCCTTGCAGCCTTTGTCTTAGTTTCTAGTGTGACAGGAGAATATTAACTGCTGATAAAATCAGGGTAGGAAAACAACACTTCCATTAAAATGTTATGATTTTGGATATTGAAGCAGACCTTACTTTTCCCTCTCTTTTTCTAGCATCAAGAGAGTGATCCAGATCTCATTCACTTGAAAACCATTAGTCACCATTCTAGAGAGACAGCTAATTACTTTTAACAAAAAATAATATTTTGATAAAGCTGTGCCATTTCTCCTGGGAATTGTTTTAAACTTCCTGTATGCCTACAACCAATTTCTGCAATACAGCTTGGGAGGAGTTTGTACTGCACTGTTCGATAGCAACAGGTCTGAAGAGTACCAAGGATGAAATTCTCAAGGGTCTTTATGTCATGGTTGGAAATGGAATCATTACTGTATTTTTGAGCTCCTGCTAACGTCACTGACACCCACCTACAGTCTACTGGAAATATAAGTGCAGAGATCAGGTTGTTCACAGATTACAAGGAGACCAACCAAGAAGGGGCAAGCCAAAGCCAAATTCCCTGGTAAGTTCTATTTTAAAGAATGTGAGAGGGAGAATTCCTTTTCTCCTCCTGAGTCAAGTTGTGAAATGGATCTCTAGTATGTTAGACCAGGCTGTATTAAATACCGTTGCACTTGTTATTATATGTAGTAAAATGTAATGCAGTTTTATAAAACTGAGCTCTCTGGATCCTGGGTCATATTTTTGCATTCTCCTTGGAGCATACAGAGGTCTGGTGCTGTACTAGCCACTGAAAATGTCTTTGTGTAATAAATGTAAACTTACAAATGTAATATTTTGTGTTGAGTGTTCTACCGGTCCATCAGAAGAGAGTCCAGTGTCTAGAAATAGCTTTGGTATGGGAAACGCTTGTTTAGAATAATTTGTTCTTCCAAGGACCTTAGTACTATGAAAAAAAAAAGAGTTGCTAGCACATGGATGTAATCTGCAGTGGGCAGATTTGCTTGGATTCACATGCTTTGTGTGTTCCCAGTGACAGCTGTATAGGATTTAAGGAGTATGTCTGTTTATCCCTTACAGGCAGTCTGTTCATCTCCAGCATGTGGAAAGGGCTGCTCCTGGGGCTGTATGTAGTATTGGCTGTCAGAGGACTGGCAAAGGGTGCTCCTTCCCAACCAGAAGATAAATGGAAGCCTCTTGATAACCCCAGAAATAGAGACCTGGTAAGGAGATGTTTCAAGAAAGAGAGCTGAAGTTCTGTGTGGTTTTTTTTTTTTTGTTTTCCATTAAGAGACTCCTTATTGTCTAAATTTAAAGGCAAGAGGGGCCCATTTGATGTAATGTTAGGAGCTGTGCACTTTGTATGGTCAATAACCATTTCTCAGTCAAGATGTACCCCTTAACTGAAGCGACATTCTCAGAGCACAGTAGTGCTCAAAATGTGCTTATATCTCCATCCAGCAGCTTTCATTTTTAAAAAATTATTTTTATTATACAGCCACTTGTTTTGTGAAACAGAAGAGGAATGATTACTGTGTTTCTTTCAGATGTGTACTCTGATTGCATGTTGTTTCATCTCATGGAAGTACAAATAAGTTTGCACCTGACAGCTACGAAAACACCACTCAGAGAACATTTGCACAATCTTAAAAAGAATTTGTGAAGGAAAAGAATCGGTTTCCTTTGATATTTCCTCAGTGTTTTAAATAGCTTTAATTTCTCCTTGGAAGTGATTACTGGGGAACAGTTCAAATAATTGCCCATTGTTGCTGACTCCTACTGAAATGTTTACAGAGGTGTCCAGTTTGCTGTCAGCAGGGGCTTGGCTGTGCCTGTTTTCCAAGGGGTGCAGTTATCTCACAGCCCCCGTGGTTCAGTGGGGAGCATAAATGAGCAGGACACAGTTGCTGCTCTTCTGACTTCACATAGATGCACAAGGCATGGATGGAGGGAGTGGGCATGTCTGAATTAGGTTGCCTACACTGTATCAGGTTATTATCAGAATTGAGGATTTCATCCCACAGAGGAATAAACATTCAATCTAATTTGTGTCAGTAGAAATAATTAATCTCCATGGGTCATGCTCTGTTTATTCTCACATCCACGATCTGCTCAGTTTTTCAGAACACTCCAGGCTTACTTCTCAGGCAGGGGTCTGGATCTCAGGAAGTTCCCAGCCACTTTCACTGTGAACAATGAAGGACCAAGGCTCTACTCAGATCCTATTGCTTCTGCATTTGCAGATTATGAAGAAAAGAAAAAATCCTTTCAGAACTATTTCAAAGGCTGAAAGATTCCGCTGATGAAGGTAAAAGAGGCTGCCTTGTCCTCTGATGTTACGTGTAACCAAGAAAGAGTCTGACTGAAGTATAAAGCAACTTCTTTCTCAGAAGGAATTAAAAATGTAGTACCTTAACCCTTGCCTGAAGTGGGGTTTAAAATTCTTGAGGCAGAGATTTATGAGGTCATTACTACTTAGATAAAATAACACATGGTGCTTGTGCAGACCTCTATAGACCCTGATTTTTTTTGTTTTCTCTTTTTTCTCCCCGCCTTCATATGGAGTAGAATTCTGCAAATGTACAGATACTAGGGGATGCAGGTTTTGTGTAAGGAATTGAAAAGAGTAAGATTACAAATTGAGAGTAGTCGTTTTGTGTGATGTATGTATATTAAGAAAATTAATTTAGCATAAGTTATTGCACTAACAAAGCATACATTCTTTTTTACATTCACAGTAAATATTGTTTTCTTCTGGTTTAGAAGTAGCTGAGAATTTTAACAAGATTTAAATCAAAGCATTTTGGTGATTTACTCAGTATCTTAAAATGCTTAAGTTGTAATCAATATTCAGCTTAAGATTTCCAGCTCTGTCCTGTTCTTGGACTGTTTAACACCTTGTCTGTTTATAATCAAAATTAAAGCTTTATTCTTATTATCATGAACCATAATAAAGACTGCACTCAAATTTTAATACTAAATTCTCTTTTTGCTGAGTTGTTATGTAATGAAAAATTACACAACACCAAAGAATGTATATTTTGTGCATGGAAAAACAAAAAGAAAAGGGAATTCAGAATGGATGCTGTACTACAAATCACAGCAGCAGTGAGAAAATGACTGGTGGAAACTTTGTCCTGCATAATTCAGGATGGTTGTGATAGTTCTTTTCAGTGTTCAGAACTGTTTTGTGGGAACAGAGGTTCAGCCAGTGTTTTTTTCTCTTGGTTTGGATCACACCTTGGTTGTGTATGGATATTTCTATATTAGTCTTATGTATTTGTATTTTTTTTGGTCTTTTTTAGGCATTAACTTCAGAAGTCCATGCCAAGTGGAAACCTTCACAGCAAAATTTTACTGCTTTGACTTTTTAACTGTTACCTGACAATTCCAAAGTTTCTTCACTGTCCCGTTTCTGCCAGTGGAATCTGGTGTCCTGCTGCAATGAGCATTATTCTGTCTGTTGACAAATGTGTGCTACTGCAGTCTGTGAGCAGAATTGTGCTTAAGTGTGAATAAATGGGGAGTGCAACAGCGTGCATTTAACCACTGCCACGTGTCTTTGTTCAAAGCTGGGAAATAAACGTTCCCTTTCGGTTTATTAGAAGGAGACGTCCCAAGGTGTTCTGTGCCAAGTGTTCACATCCCCTGAGGGTACAGCCCCATCCTTGGTGGCCCTCTGGCTGCTTGGGCCTCACCCCGCCCCGCACGCCCATTTCCGACCCTGCCGTGCTCAGAACTGTCCCATCCCTCTGAGTACGGAGTTAAAGCCCCTCGGTGCCGAGCTGGCCGAGGCAGCAGAGGCCGCCGAGCCCCGGTCCCAGCGCTCGGTGCCCGCCTTCAGGCGCCTCAGCGCCGCGCCGCCGCACGGAACCCGCGCGGGCGGGCGCCATAGCGGCGGGCGCCATAGCGGGACGGACGCGGTGCCTCCCTCACAGGGCTCCCCCGGGCCGGAGCGGAGCCATGTCGGGCTTCAGCCCGGAGCTGATCGAGTACCTGGAGGGGAAGATCTCCTTCGAGGAGTTCGAGCAGCGCCGTGAGGAGCGCAAGAGCCGCGAGAAGGTGAGTCTGCCCCGCCTGGCCGCGCCAAGGCCCGGGCCGCCCCCCTCCTGCCAACACCTGGCAGGTGCTCTGTGTGTGGAGGGGCTCCCGCTCGCTGCTCCTGCGGCTCCGGAGTTGCGAGCGTCGGTGTCCAGGTCAGCAGAAGGCCGCGGTGCGGGGCTCGCAGGACGCGGCGCTGCCCTCCCGCCGCTCTGGGCGGAGGCACGGGCCCGGCAGCACCGCCCGGCCCGCGGGAAATCGGTGCTTTGGGTCGGGGCAAGGAGCTGGTTCGGGTATAAACCCATCCAGATTATGTTGCTCCAGCTCCCCCTCCAGCATCTGAGGGAGAGAGCCAGTGCGGCTCCTCGTTTGACTTCTTGGCAGCAGTAAATATAGGGAAACACATTGTGTCCGACGCTATGTAGGCGGTGTGATTAAAAGAAAACACGCGTGATTTGTCGGAGTGTTGCAGTTCTTTTTAACTTTGCTATATTTGTGTCAACGTGCTACTGAATTTCTGCATTTCTTGGTGTTCAGAGAGCACATTCAGCAGAGCTCAGGTGTCATGGAAGGATCAGTGTTACCCTGGGGCAGCATTCTTACCGGATTCATGAGTGCTGTTGTGATATTGACTGGCTCCTGGGAGGATTTGTCCCACAGAACTTTTTTTTCTACCACCATGTCATCCCACCTCACTGTAATGCCCAATAATCAATGGACTGGTCTCTTCAGTCAAATGTAGTGTGAACAGTCACCATCTGAGTCTCCCCACTGATAAAAATATAAATGTCCTGAAAGCAAGGAATGCTGGGTTTTATTCACTTAAAAACAGAGTGCTTATTCTACCTGTTTCACCGGCAGTGCAAAGGCTGGAAAACCAAATGGTAGCTGTAAATATGTGGGGAAATAAAAAATGAGTGATTCTATAGAGGTAATAATTTGGTTTTTTGGTGTGTGTAGGATGGCGAAAATGCGTCTGCTGAGGAAAATGAGGAAGATGTAGAGGCTCCATCTTCATCCAGAAAAGCATCTGGGAAATCCCAAAGTCAGGATGAAACTGATGGTTGGTGTTTCTAACATAATCATTCCTATTTTAAAAGGCAGTAGAAGCATTTGCTCTTCAATAACTGACTTCATAAAAACCTGGCTCCATTTTTCCCCTTCTGGTCTCTGAAGGGACTGAAATAAAAGGGAAAATAAATGATTATGGGTTTTTTTCAGATGGGGGCAGGGGAAGATAAGTCTTATGTTTAGATGCTTTATATCCAAGTCAGAATAAAAATAACCAAACATATCCAAGTCAAAAAAAACCTATAAACCTAGGTATGGTCCCCAAGTTCCTCTCCTACATAGGCAATGCATGGTAGATTTGTTTTTCAGTCCCAACTTGATACTGTGGTTATTTTTAAATCAAATATTCAGGTGTCTAATCCCCCAGCTCAAACCTTTGAACCCTACATATTTTGAGTTTTGTATATAGAGCTGTGGTCAATTATAACCCTGGGTTCACTTCATAATGAGAAGCTGTAAATAAAAAATGGGAAATTTCTAAAAAATCTGTGCCTTAAGCATATTTACTCAGAGTACATAGCATAGTTTTCTTACTTATTTTAAAGAATTCTGTTCTTTTTCCAGAGAAATGCAAATAATCTGGATTTTGTATTTACACATGTTAAAAGGTACTTGTTGTCATGGATGGACTGGTTACAAGATCTTGTTTTCAATTGCTTTGAAAAATTGGTTGCTGGATTGTTGTGTAGTGAAATTCTCTGCTCACTTACAGCCTCTCCATCTGAAAAGCTGATTGCAGCCAGCCAGCCCAGTGCTTGAAAATTGCTTAATATTCTTCTGGACTGAGAAAAATGTTGATTAAACTGTGGCTTCATTCTGTGTGTTCCTCCCTGCTTTCATTTCAGATATCCAAAAGATGTTACAGGCTGGGCCATGCCAAGCATTGGTGATGAATAATCCAGAGCTGTAAAACCAAAGAGACTGTCAGTAGTTGTTGTGCATTTCTGCAGGCAGCACTCTTACAGAATAGCTGCTTCAAGTGGGCTCTTGTTTTCTCTGCACTTGTCCAGGGAAGCAGCATGTTCTCTTCATTATATCAAAAACCTATTTTACTTCTTTCTCAACCAGGAGAAACAGCAGATGGGGTCAGTAAATCTGTCCATCGGGTCTTTGCATCCATGCTTGGGGAAAATGAAGAGGAGGAGGATGAAGAGGAGGAGGAGGAGGAAGAAGAAGAAGAAGAAGAAGGAGGAGGAGGAGAGGAGGAAGAGGAAACTACAGAGCAGCCTACAGCTGGAGATGTTTTTGTTTTGGAGATGGTTCTTAATCGAGAGACCAAGAAAATGATGAAAGCAAGTATTTAAACTTTCATATAATTTCCATGTGTCCCCTGACCATGGTGCATGAATTCCACTTCATGTGACTTTTAGCTGCTTACTGGGAAATTTGCCTGAAAATTGTTTAACGTAGGATAATCCTGCTTATGCTGGTGTTTGTTATGCTGTCATTGTTTATTACAAAAGCATTGTAGTTTACTGTTTGAAAGCTTTCAGAAATCATGAAACCAGTTTTTCCAGTATCAGAAAACTATGAACATTAGCAAGTCCTTTGGTCAGTCATTTATTATTGCTAATACTTAAATAACTTGGGGTTAGGTGGTGTTAAGCACGACAGGGTGCCTCCTGAATTTGGGCACAGATCATCCTTGGTCAGAAACAGCATCCCTTTTCCATTTAGGAGAAAAGACCTCGCAGCAAACTTCCCCGTGCCTTGAGGGGTCTGATGGGAGAGGCCAACATCAGATTTGCTCGAGGAGAGCGAGAGGAGGCCATTCTGATGTGCATGGAGATCATTCGACAAGGTATGGGAGAATGGGCAACCTTTGGGCTTTAAGGATGGAATCAAGTTTCCATGTGCAGGAGCAGGATTCAGTGTGGCTTCCCTGAAGATGAAAATAAACAGTGCAAGCAAAGTCATGGTATAAGGAGTAGAATTAAGAATATGTGGTACACTTCCTTTATTTTTTTGCTTATAAAAAGAAACTAGCACCTCAATTCTGCAGAGCCCATGCCTTGGCTTAGCTTTACACAGTTTGCTTGTACTGTCTTTGTAGACACAAGATATGAGCATCAGCAAGCCTTGCAGTATAGAATAATACTATAAGTGGTTGTTGTTAGATTCAGTCAGCCAGTTTAATAATTTACAGACAGGAATCAGAAACTTGTCTGCAAATTTTTCTTGAATTTGAACAGCACATATTTTATATAATTCTGATACCTGTTCTTTAAGAAAGGTGAGTTATTTGTGTCCGGTGTGGATTTTAAACAATAAATCTTAGTAATTCTTTTTGCCTTTTCACAGCTCCTCTTGCTCACGAGCCATTTTCCACTCTTGCCATGATCTATGAAGACCAGGGTGATATGGAGAAATCATTACAGTTTGGACTGATTGCAGCTCACTTAAATCCTAGCAATACTGAGGAGTGGGTTAGACTGGCAGAAATGTCACTGGAGCAGGACAATATTAAGCAGGCTGTTTTCTGCTACACAAAAGGTAGTATAGCAAACATTTTAATAATTTAAAATTAATGCTGTGTGCTAATGGCAATAATTTTGTTTTCTTCTCCTTTCTAGTTTAGTTTGCTTCAGGGTGCTAAGATTCTGATACCTTTGTCTGGACTTTGATAAAAGATGAATGAATGATGAATGATAATGACAAAAGATGAATGATAAATGAATCTGTAATATAGGATGTCCTTGCAAAAACCCTGTGCATGTCCATTAACACAAATCAAGGAAATGAATGTGAAACCCAGCGTTGCATTTGCTAAACTCCTGCCGTGCTGCTGCTCTCCCTGTAGCTCTGAAGTACGACCCGAGCAACGTGCGCTACCTGTGGGAGAGGTCCAGCCTGTACGAGCAGCTGGGGGAGCAGAAGATGGCCATGGACGGCTACCGGCGCATCCTGAACCTCCTGGCTCCCTCCGACGGGGAGCGCTTCATGCAGCTGGCCCGAGACATGGCCAAGTGAGCTGGGCTTGCCAACAATGGTGTTTGCTTTGCCACGGGAGGGAGCCTTGGGGTTCAAGTGTGTAGCTCTCACCCAGTCGTGTTTTACCTGTGAACTGCTTCCTTGTGGAAAGCTGGTACTGCCTGTTTCCAAACGGTTTAAGGTCTTTTGATCTTCACGTTTGGGAAATGTATCAAAAAATACAAGGATGGGTATTACAACAATGTTATTAGTGAAGGTTTCTTGAAGCAGGTTAATGTGGGAATGACTGATGTCCAACTTCATTGAGGGAGACTGTGATGAAAACTCCAGTAATGTCCTTACAAATATGGGAGAAAAAAATTGTTAATTATTTGAAATATGTAAAAGTTTTCAACAGTTGTAAGGAAAGGAAAAACACCCCCTTTATCACTGTCTTTTATAACATCCACTTGCTAATGAAAATCTTCCCTAATCAGCAAAAATCAGAGAAA